CTTCATAGTTATAAGAAAGAATGCATACGTATTATATAGTGTTGTCTGTCTTCAATTTGCCTTTTGTCGTTTTGGGATAGGAACAAAAGATTTTGTTCATTATTTAATATATTCGCATGGTATTGGATGAAATTCTGCACAAAACCGTTTTGAACATTTCACAACGCTGTGTATTCTTCATAACGTTGCTGTGAAATATCTTTTTCAAAGTACAATCCCAGCTATTATACCATTATAGCGTCGGACGGCATGATTTCAATAACAGAAAGTTAATTACTTTAATATAAAATAAGGAGATGTGGTATGATTGCCAATGAGACAACTATCTTCAACAATGAGAAAAACCCATACCGTATAGTCGACTATAAAAGGCCCCGACATGAAAAATATGAAACAATTCAATTGAGAACTAACGGCATAATTTATAACAAAACAATTTACGGAAATCAAATATGACAGACGTGAACCAACGACAACCACTGAACTACAGACTCCTGACTTGGGTCAGGCACATAAAGAATGTGGCGGGGTTAAACATGTTTGTGAGCGCCCAACCCTCCCCCTAATCTGGGACAGTGGTGTAATAGCACAACATAAGAACAAACTATAAAAATCAGTTGAAAAAGGCTTAACTCATCAGATCGATACAAAGAAAACATCAAACAAAAACAGAGACAGGACGTGGCAGGGTATATATCCATCCCTCATCCCTAACAACAAAAAAGACACTAAGTACGGATCTGAGAGTACACGCAGTTACCAAGTAAAAAGTAAACCATTATAGGTCACAGTACGGTCTTCAACACGGAGCCTTGGCTCACACCGAACAGTAAGCTATAAAGGACCCCAAAAATTACTAGTGTAAAACCATTCAAACGGGAAAACCAACGGTCTAATCTATATAAAAAACGAGAAACGAGAAACACTTATGAACCACATCAACAAACGACAACTACTGAACATCAGATTCCTGACTTAGGACAGGTGCAAACAAATGCAGCGGGTTTAAACGTTTTAATGGTACCAAACCTTCACCCTTTTTCTGAAACAATAGTGTAACATCACAACATAGAAAAACACACTATAAAATATCAACTGAAATAGCTTAACTCAATCAAAGGACATATTAACACCATTGAACATACACTGAACAAAAAATTTGACCTATGACACAATGTAAATACAAAATAAATAAACTAAGGGAAGAATAATAAAAGTAACTTGTTATATCGGTAAGAAATGTTAAACAATTAAAGAAAAAGAATATGCTCGAACAAAAATATCAGCCATTTGCAATAACTTTAAACACAGGTAAATGAAAATAATTTTGTTGTTAGGTATACGTGTACAGTACCAATAGAGAAAGGAAATATTTTTACAAAATAAATAATTTTGATGTTCATAGTACGAAGTGAAAATTTATGTCTATACTGGCATCTTTAAATGCAGCGGAATATCTGTGTGTTTTGGTTTTATATTCTGTATGTCTGGCATATCCCATGTACCACAATATCGAAGCTAAATGGGCACAGCATCCCATAGTTAGGGCTCCCGCCTTTCACTCACAAAACCAACCGTTAACAATAAACAAGTCTAGTCTCTTTTTCTTTGCATGAGATACCATACCACGTAACCTGTCAAGAAGCCAAATAATATCGGACGCATTTAACTGGGATGTTATTTTCCTCAATCTGGATGTATCTATCTCTGTCCCGATTTTTAAGGTTTTACCGTCTATATGAACCGGACAACATCTTACACCAGTTGGTACTAGAACACCTTGTGTTACAAACACATGTAATCTGGCCTTTTCTGGCATCGTAACAAATGGACCCTTTGTTGTGATACAGATGCTACACTTTCTTGATGTTTTACCTACAGTCACGATTGGTAGTGTAATTGATTTGTTCTGTGGTGTTGTTTTATTTTCTGATGACTTGGGTACCGGTGCAGGGACGGTGGTAACAATGTCACTACTAGAATCTACACAGTTGGTGGATTGGCGATAATTAAAATTGCTGTCTGCATTTGTTACATATAATACCATTTTCAAAAACGTTCTTGTTCAAGGTTTCGAAAAATTGTTTTTGTTGTTTTGAAATTAATGCTATGGCCTTTTTTCTTTATGTGTATATTACACACACAACATTTGGGCTTCATTGCTATATAATCAATTCTCGTGTTATTGGTTATGTACAAGCACCTACTTCAGTTTGACGGCAATTGTTGCTTGTATATATATAATAAATGTAAACACAGGAATAGGAAGTAAGTCAAGAGTATGGATAGTAATAGGAACGCACACAATAAGCAACACATTATTTTTTTTTCTTTAATGAAATGATATATAGTCAAAATGATCCATAATGTCTCTATGAATTAAACAAACATCTATCATTTACAGTTCTATGCGCTACCACAGCGACTCTTAAAATCAAATTTGTTATTAAGCTGCTTTATAGGTACAATTTAGTGATGTTTCATTTTTTTTTTATTAAAAAAGTTGTTTTTTAGGTATTAAGGACACACTAAACCAATTTCATTTTTGAGGAAAAAAGTTATATAAATTACAACAACAACAAAAAACATAATTTTGTTTTGGTTTGAAATGTCCTTCTCGGGGGATTCCCTGTTTTTCCCACCTAAAAACACGGTAAATTCCGCATATTTGACTTTCATCTTTTTTGGGGGGTTAGATTAACTATTTTTCCGACATATCATAATAAATTAAAATCGAGATATTGATCAAAAAACATTTTTATTTCTTGTTTTTATCGTACATTTTATTCTTTCGGCACTTTTTGAAATTGGCCCTTCAGGGGAAAATGGCCCCACCTCTTTATGGAAAATGGCATCGTTAGCGCTCTCACGGGTACAATTCTTGCCAGACTTTTATAATAGTTATTAAAGGTACCAGGATTATAATTTAATACTCCAGACGCGCGTTTCGTCTACATAAGACTCATCAGTGACGCTCAGATCAAAATAGTTATAAAGCCAAACAAGTACAAAGTTGAAGAGCATTGAGGACCCAAAATTCCAAAAAGTTGTGCCAAATACGGCTAAGGTAATCTATTCCTGGGATAAGACTTATACTATAGGTTAATATCAGCAATATCTCGGACAAGTTCTATAATGGTGGACGATCGACTTTTTTTAAAAGAGTTATGCCACTTGGATATATTAAATTTATGGAAAATGGCCTCATTAGCGCTCTCACGGGTAAAATTCTTGCCAGATTTTTATAAAACTTATACTATAGGTTAATATCAGTAATATCTCGGACAAGTTCTATAATGGTGGACGATCGACTTTTTTTAAAAGAGTTGTGCCCCTTGGAAATATAAAATATGTGCAACGAGGGGGTCATTGGATCTCTGTTCTTTTATTATTTCAATGGGACTACCTGCATGTGTATTGATACTTATTTTTTTACGTTATCAACTTCATTTTATGGTTAAACTTTTAAATGTTGCGAAAGGCCAATTGATAGATATGTTAGCAATACGTCTATCAAGTACTTAGACAACATATTCCCCCCTAATAATGTTTTGAAGCTTTTTAAAAGAGAGGCAAAAGGTACCAAAGGGACATTAAAACTCATTAGAAAATAAAACTGACAATGCCATGGCGAAAAAAGACAAAAGACAAACAACAGTATACAAAACACAACATAGAAAACTAGAGACTGAGCAACACCCTCACCAAAAACCGGCGTGATCTCAGGTGCTCAGGAAGGATAATTACACCGATCCTGCTGCATCAATCGTGTTGCTTTACATATTCTTTATTTGAAATGTATTCACGGTTTACTCTAAATTTTACAGAAACTGTACATCAAGGTTATCAATATGATGAAGTTGTAGAACCTTTCAAAAAATTTCGTCAAATATGTTTGGGCTTAGTTTGGTATTGCTTGCAGAAATTTCATATAAAAAAACCAATATTACCTGACAGCATTATTGAAGTGTCACGTACAGTTCCATAGTTTAAGATAATAGTTAAATGCAAATCTCGTACATCTTTAAAACAAATAGGGTGTAGCTAAAATATTTTATTGTTGCCAAAAAATATACGAGTGAATATGGGCGAAAGAAAGAATCATGATCTTGCAGATGTAAATAACAGCGATTTTATTCACAAAAAAACGTTCTCGGAAGTCTCGAATATTTAAGGATAACTTACGATCAATTATTGTGGTAAGATTTTTTTGTGAAAAGAACCCTTGTAGACTCTCCTGAGTGCATGCAATGGAAAAGTATTAATCTTGACTTTTAAGTAAACCTTCCAATATCGCAACCAGTAAAGCACTAAAATATGGGTGGGGATACAAATTAATCACATTAAGATATATGTCCTGAAGTTAGGACCATCATGAAACACTTAAATTGGTGTCATAAACGTAGGACAATGCCTAGGACATATACTACAATGCGACATATTTGACAAACCCACTTAGGACAAGGATATGTCCTAGGATGGTCTGATGATATGTCCTAGTCTTAATGCTGTTTTTGATAAACAGGTCTCAGAGGATTGGAACAACTACATGAACAGTAATGACCAGTAATGTTAAAACTCTTTTAGATGCACAATGTACAGCAATAATTTTATTATTTAATCCTTTTCATTCATATGCATTGCTGGCATACATAGCAGATGATGTAACGCAAGAAGAAAATGAATTTCGATCTTGAATTTCGAACAAAACTGATGGCCTCCCCAGATGACTGCAAATATTTAATTTATGAAAATTAATATAATTTGATACAAGTGAAATAGTGTAACACGTAGAACAAATGGAAGCCAGATTAATCAATTACTAATGTATATGTCTGATTGATTAGAATGGTTTACGTAAGTCTGTTAGTAATTGATAAAAATAATTCTTAATTTAAACCAATAGCAATGAAAACCAATTCCAGAACTGAGCAAATAATAAAAGCATAACATGATATTAGAATTGCTAACAGATCAATACACAAAATATAATAAAACATTTGGAAACCGCCATTGAAAAACAGCTGTTATGTGTGTTCTTTTAGCTCCCTGTAATCGATTTTTCGTCGTGTTGTAGTTATCAATGTACATCAATGTATAGATATTGTTTAATGTCTGCGTTTGAGATATATCTCAAGTAAATAAACGTTGACGAGATAACAACAAAATATTTCCACAGAAGTGAATTTCAGTCTACGATTCTATTGATATAATTTCGCTTTTATTTTCATTGATCGGAAGAAAATGGTTGTATAACAAACGATTAATGCTGTGTTTGTAAAAATCTGTTTTGTGTCAATTACTATTATGATGAAGACAACGAAATGATATACATTAAATATGAGCCACATATTTTATGGATTGCTTCTAGTATATCTTGGAGATATTTATTTTGGCGAGGGTAAGTATATTTAAGGTGAATTTATACTAACTGCATACACTCACACATTGTCAATAGTTGTGAATTGGTATTAATTTTTTCTGCGATATATGAATTAAAGAAGATGTTGGGATACGCAATGAACAACCTAACGACACAAAAATATACAGAGGTCAACATTCGGTCTTCAACATACGGTCTTCAACCATAGACAATATGTCGAGCTCTAAATCAACCTAGTTTCGACAAGTTGTGGAGAAATTAACAATATGTCATTACCATTAAATTGTCAAAGTATAAATACATATACATGTAGATATAACTGAAGTCAACAACTAACGAGGTTCCTGAATTGTGACAGGCATAATAATATGTGTTAGGGTTATACAAGGTTTGTAGCATTCAACCCCCCTTTTATAATATGTGTAAGGGTTAATACTAGGTTTCAAGCATTCACCCCCCCCTTTTATGATATGTGTCAGGGTTATACTAGGTTTCTAGAAATCAACCCCCTTTTATGATATGTGTTAGGGTTTTTCTAGGTTTATAGCAATCAAACCCCCTTTTATGATATGTGTTAGGGTTTTACTAGGTTTTTATCAACCCCCTTTTATGATATGTGTTAGAGTTTCTAGCAATCAACCCCCCTTTTATGATATGTGTAAGGGTTATACTAGGTTTCTAGCAATCAACCCCCTTTTATGATATGTGTTAGGGTTTTACTAGGTTTATAGCAATCAAACCCCCTTTTATGATATGTGTTAGGGTTTTACTAGGTTTATAGCAATCAAACCCCATTTTATGATATGTGTTAGGGTTATACTAGGTTTTTATCAACCCCCCTTTTATGATATGTGTTAGAAATATACTAGGTTTCTAGCAATCACCCCCCCCCCCCCCCCCCCCCTTTTATGATATGTGTTCGGGTTATACTAGGTTTTTATCAACCCCCCTTTTATGATATGTGTTAGAAATATACTAGGTTTCTAGCAATCAACCCCCCCCCCCCCCTTTTATAATATGTGTTAGGGTTATACTAGGTTTTTATCAACCCCCCTTTTATGATATGTGTTAGAACTATACTAGGTTTCTAGCAATCAACCCCCTTTATGATATGTGTCAGGGTTAAACTAGGTTTCTAGCAATCAAACCCCCTTTTATGATATGTGTTAGGGTTTTACTAGGTTTATAGTAATCAAACCCCCTTTTATAATATGTGTTAGGGTTATACTAGGTTTTTATCCACCCCCTTTTATGATATGTGTTAGAACTATACTAGGTTTCTAGCAATCAACCCCCCTTTTATGATATGTGTAAGGGTTATTCTAGATTTCTAGCAATCAACCCCCTTTTATGATATGTGTTAGGGTTTTACTAGGTTTATAGCAATCAACCCCCTTTTATGATATGTGTTAGGGTTTTACTAGGTTTATAGTAATCAAACCCCCTTTTATAATATGTGTTAGGGTTATACTAGGTTTTTATCCACCCCCTTTTATGATATGTGTTAGAACTATACTAGGTTTCTAGCAATCAACCCCCCTTTTATGATATGTGTAAGGGTTATTCTAGATTTCTAGCAATCAACCCTCTTTTATGATATGTGTTAGGGTTTTACTAGGTTTCTAGCAATCAACCCCCTTTTATGATATGTGTTAGGGTTTTACTAGGTTTATAGTAATCAAACCCCCTTTTATGATATGTGTTAGGGTTTTACTAGGTTTATAGCAATCAACCCCCTTTTATGATATGTGTTAGGGTTTTACTAGGTTTATAGTAATCAAACCCCCTTTTATAATATGTGTTAGGGTTATACTAGGTTTTTATCCACCCCCTTTTATGATATGTGTTAGAACTATACTAGGTTTCTAGCAATCAACCCCCTTTTATGATATGTGTTAGGGTTATACTAGGTTTTTATCAACCCCCCTTTTATGATATGTGTTAGAACTATACTAAGTTTCTAGCAATCAACCCCCCTTTTATGATATGTGTTAGGGTTATACTAGGTTTCTAGCAATCAAACCCCCTTTTATGATATGTGTTAGGGTTTTACTAGGTTTATAGCAATCAAACCCCCTTTTATGATATGTGTTAGGGTTATACTAGGTTTTTATCCACCCCCTTTTATGATATGTGTTAGAACTATACTAGGTTTCTAGCAATCAACCCCCTTTTATGATATGTGTAAGGGTTATTCTAGATTTCTAGCAATCAACCCCCTTTTATGATATGTGTTAGGGTTTTACTAGGTTTATAGCAATCAAACACCCTTTTATGATATGTGTTAGGATTATACTAGGTTTCTAGCAATCAACCCCCTTTTATGATATGTGTTAGAACAATACTAGGTTTCTAGCAATCAACCCCTCATGATGATATGTGTAAGGGTTATACTAGGTTTCTAGCAATCAACCCCCTTTTATGATATCTGTAAGGGTTTTACTAGGTTTATAGCAATCAACCCCCTTTTATGATATGTGTTAGGGTTTTACTAGGTTTATAACAATCAACCCCCCTTTTATGATATGTGTTAGAACTATACTAGGTTTCTAGCAATCAACCCCCCCCCCCCCCCCCCTTTATGATATGTGTTAGGGTTATACTAGGTTTTTATCAACCCCCCTTTTATGATATGTGTTAGAACTATACTAGGTTTCTAGCAATCAACCCCCTTTATGATATGTGTCAGGGTTATACTAGGTTTCTAGCAATCAAACCCCCTTTTATGATATGTGTAAGGGTTTTACTAGGTTTATAGCAATCAACCCCCTTTTATGATATGTGTTAGAAATAAACTAGGTTTATAGCAATCACCCCCCCCCCCCCCTTTTATGATATGTGTTAGGGTTATACTAGGTTTCTAGCAATCAACCCCCTTTTATGATATGTGTTAGGGTTTTACTAGGTTTATAACAATCAACCCCCCTTTTATGATATGTGTTAGAACTATACTAGGTTTCTAGCAATCAACCCCCCCCCCCCCCCCCTTTATGATATGTGTTAGGGTTATACTAGGTTTTTATCAACCCCCCTTTTATGATATGTGTTAGAACTATACTAGGTTTCTAGCAATCAACCCCCTTTATGATATGTGTCAGGGTTATACTAGGTTTCTAGCAATCAAACCCCCTTTTATGATATGTGTAAGGGTTTTACTAGGTTTATAGCAATCAACCCCCTTTTATGATATGTGTAAGGGTTTTACTAGGTTTATAGCAATCAACCCCCTTTTATGATATGTGTTAGAAATAAACTAGGTTTATAGCAATCACCCCCCCCCCCCTTTTATGATATGTGTTAGGGTTATACTAGGTTTTTATCAACCCCCCTTTTATGATATGTGTTAGAAATATACTAGGTTTATAGCAATCACCCCCCCTTTTATGATATGTGTTAGGGTTATACTAGGTTTTTATCAACCCCCCTTTTATGATATGTGTTAGAAATATACTAGGTTTCTAGCAATCAACCCCCCCCCCCCCCCTCCCCCTTTTATGATATGTGTTAGGGTTATACTAGGTTTTTATCAACCCCCCTTTTATGATATGTGTTAGAAATATACTAGGTTTCTAGCAATCAACCCCCTTTATGATATGTGTCAGGGTTATACTAGGTTTCTAGCAATCAAACCCCCTTTTATGATATGTGTAAGGGTTTTACTAGGTTTATAGCAATCAAACCCCCTTTTATAATATGTGTTAGGGTTATATACTAGGTTTTTATCCACCCCCTTTTATGATATGTGTTAGAACTATACTAGGTTTCTAGCAATCAACCCCCCTTTTATGATATGTGTAAGGGTTATTCTAGATTTCTAGCAATCAACCCCCTTTTATGATATGTGTTAGGGTTTTACTAGGTTTATAGCAATCAAACCCCCTTTTATGATATGTGTTAGAACTATACTAGGTTTCTAGCAATCAACCCCCTTTTATGATATGTGTTAGGGTTATACTAGGTTTTGTAGCAATCAACCCCCTTTTATGATATGTGTTAGAACAATACTAGGTTTCTAGCAATCAACCCCTCTTGTATGTTATGTGTAAGAGTTATACTAGGTTTCTAGCAATCAACCCCCTTTTATGATATGTGTTAGGGTTTTACTAGGTTTATAGCAATCAACCCCCTTTTATGATATGTGTTAGGGTTATACTAGGTTTCTAGCAATCAATTCCCTTTTATGATATGTGTTAGGGTTTTACTAGGTTATAGCAATCAAACCCCCTTTTATGATATGTGTTAGGGTTATACTAGGTTTCTAGCAATCAACCCCCTTTTATGATATGTGTTAGGGTTTTACTAGGTTTATAGCAATCAAACCCCCTTTTATGATATGTGTTAGGGTTATACTAGGTTTCTAGCATTCAACCCCCCCCCCCTTTTTATGATATGTGTTAGGAATATACTAGGTTTCTAGCAATCACCCCCCTTTAATGATATGTGTTAGGATTGTACTAAGTTTCTAGCACTCAATCCCCCTTTTATTCTCGATAAGTGGCATGTATAAAATAAAATCAGAAAAAAACCTTAAAATTATAATACCTGTGTTATAGACTACAAAACCACAGACACAAGTAAAATACACATTACACAGTATAAAAACAAGTTTAAGTTCTAGTGTTAATATAGAAACCATATCGTCCAACAGTCTTATATTGGCGGTTGTACTTTGAGGTAGATTTCGTACATCATCATTATGATCAGCCAGAACGACACGATCTTCTACGATGCCCAAACTAAACTTGTAAAGAATTTCAATGCATATAAAAAAAACATTTGAGACTTGTTTCAAACTATGAATAAGCGAATTGAATGTTTCCAAGTAGTTCCGACCGTGCAAGACCCTCATGGGTAGTTAAGGTCGTTAAAAACAACCTCGTCGTCCAAAGTAATTATTTAACAACACTATAATCATAACTTTTATCAAAAAGACTTTGAAGAAAAAAGCAATAGGTTGAAAGGACTGTCTCCAATTTGTTTGCGTTATAAATAATATTTGTCACGTTTATGAACACAAA